CCTCCACCCTCACACATGAAAATAAAAAATAGAAATAAAAATAAAATAGACATCCAGCTCTTAAAATGCAATAGTAAGAAAGCAGTCCAATTAAAAAGGGTAAAATATTTGAATAGACAATTCACCAAGAGATCTGTACATGGCAAAAAAAGCATATGAAAAATGTTCAGCATCATGTCATTAGGGAAATGATTTCTTTTTTTTTTTTTTTGGTGGGCAGCAAAGCAAAGTGTATTGAGCAATAGGGTCAAGCAATAGTACAAAGCTCCTGAAGAGGGAAGGGACCCAAGAAAATTGTCCAGGAAATGAAAATTATAATAGCAAAGAGGTAACAGTGCAGACCTATTAGAATGACTAAAATCCAAAACACAAACACCAAATGCTGGCAAAGAGAACAAGAGCAACAAGAGCTCTCACTCATTGATGATAGAAATAAAAAATGGCAGTCACTTGAAAGAAATTTTGACAGCTTCTTACAAAACTAAATTTACTCTTACCATGCAATTCAGCAATTGTGGTTTTGGATAATTGCCAAATTATTTGAAAAATCATGTACATAAAAACCTCTTCACAAATGTTGATAGCAGCATCGTTAATAACTGACAAATCTGAGGGACACCTGGGTGGCTCAGTCACTTAAGCATCTGCCTTCAGCTCAGGTCCTGATCCCAGGGTCCAGGAATCAAGCCCTGATTCAGGCTCCCTGCTCAGTGGGGCTCCTGCTTCTCCCTCTCCCTTTGCCCCACTCCCATTTATACACTCTCTCATGCGTGCTCTCTCTCTTTCAAATAACAATCTTAAAAAAAACTGACAAAGTTGAGAGGAAGCCAAGATATCCTTCAATAGGTGAAAAGATTGAAAAAAAAGCCATGGTAGGGGCACCTGGGTGGCTCAGTGGGTTAAAGCCTCTGCCTTCAGCTCAGGTCATGTTCCCAGGGTCCTGGAATTGAGCCCTGAATCAGGCTCTCTGCTCAGCAGGGAGCCTTCTTCCTCCTCTCTCTCTCTCTCTCTCTCTCTGCCTGCCTCTCTGACTACTTGTGATCTCTATCTGTCAAATAAATAAATAAAATCTTTAAAAAAAAATCCACACAATGTAGTATTATTCAGCACTAAAAATAAGTGAGCTATTAAGTCATGAAAAGACACAGAAGAAACTTAAATGCATACTGCCAGATGAAAGAAGCCAATCTGAAAATGTTACATGCTGTATAATTTCAACAATAAAATATTCTTGAAAAGGCAAAAATATGGAGACCATAAAAAGATCAATAGTTTCTAGGGGTTTGCAGGTTGGGGAAGGATGATGAAGGAATGAATAGGTGGTGCTCTCAGATATTTCTGGCAGTGACACTATTCTACATGATAGTATAATGGTGAATTCATGTCATTATACATTTGTCAGAACCCACAGAATATACAATACATTGGCTCACCAATTGTATCAATGTATCTCACTAATACAAATGTTAATAGTAGAGGAAACTGCATGCTGGGAATTAGGGATATATAGGAACTCTGTACTTTTCAATTTTTCTGTAAACCTAAAACTGCTCTAAAAATAAAGTTTCTTATTTTAAAAAAAGTGACACAGGGTCCCCCAGATTATTTTTAGTTGAAGAAGTGCAAAGGCTACATTCTTGCTCTTTAGGAAAGTCACCAGGAACATCTACATAAAACACGAAACTTCTAGGACATTCCAGAAAGCTTTCATTGTAAAATCCTCAAAAAGAATAAATTTGGACTGTGTCCATGGTTACAAATCCCCACGTTTGGTAATTCTCTAGAGGGACTCAAAGGACTCAGCTAATAGTCATACTCATGGCTAATATTTACTTTAGTGAAAGAATATAGAGCAAAATCACCAAAGGGAAAAATATATGGGATGAAGTCTAGAGGAAGCTAGGTGAAAGCTTCCAAGAGTTCTCCCTTAAAACAGTCACACAGGACACAATTAATGTCACCAGCAGCAAGTTATAACAACACGTGTGAAATTTTGTCTACCGTGGAAGCTCTTTAGACTCAGTGCCCTAGGTATTTGTTGGGGGTTGTACAGAGGTACCCACTGCTAAGCATATACCAAAATTCCAGACTCCCAGAAGAAAATAAGATGTTCAACATAAACCACATTGTTTGTATAGGCAGTCTAGGCACAGTGAGTCACTCTAACCATTTAGCGAAAATTGTATATCCTGTGTAAGAAACTGTTCACTAGCCAAGCTCCCAGATACAAGCCAAGAGCTAATCTTGTAGTCAGATTTTTCTAATCATAGTAGACTCAGGCCTATTATGTTAACTCCTGTCTGCTTAGGAACCTAATCAAGAATAGATGCAAAAGGAAAAAAAACAAAAAAGACTGCAGAAGGAAAATGACAGAAGACCTCAAACTATTCCACTTTAGAAGAAAAGTAGTCCTTCACCTTTTCAATACTAACTCTATTCACCACCGAGGCTCCTGACATGATATAATTAATGGAGAGCCACCAAAGAACGTATCAGGAGATAAGCTTCAGCTTTGTCACAATCTGTGTAACCTTGGATAAGATGATTTCTAAGAACTTTCATAGCCATGTCAAAGACTTTACTCAATTGAGTGTCTCCTTTTATACTTGAATCTAAAATATCTCCAACTTTTACTGGACCTATTATTCAACACATAGATCTATCCATTAAAAAGTTTTATTTTTTAAGGTTTTATTTATTTTAGAAAGAGAGAGAGAAAGAGAACTCACATGGGTGGGGAGAGGGGCAGAGAGAGAGGAAGAGAGAAATTCTTAAACAGGCTCCTTGCCCAGTGCAGAGCTCAATCCCATGACCCTAAGACCATGACATGAGCTGAAATCAAAGTCCAGTGTTTGACTGAGCCACCCAGGCACGCTACCACTGAAAACAGTTTTAATCAGTTAATTTCTTCCCTTCCTTCTCCAGTGCCACTCTTGTGACTTAGGCTCTCTCCTCTAGATCATAGCAATAGTTTCCTAAACTAGTTTTCTTGCTTCCACTCTCTCTCAGGTCTAATTCATCTTACAACCTCAGACAGTTTAAGATTCTTAAAACAGAATTCTACTCATATTGCTTGTACTACCAAAGCTCTCAATGATCCCCCCCCAGGGCCAAAATAATTCAATACAAACTCCTGAGCCTATTACTCTATAATATGACCTCAATTGCCTGATCCTATCTTGTCTCTCACTACTCTCCAATAGCAATGAAAATTCTGGTCAAAACATATTCCAAACATACTCCTTGTTTTCTATTCCTGGGACCACTTCCCTCCATGTGAGAGGTCCATTTCTCCATTTCTGTCAAAGACTTTACCTTTTGTTGAATGGGCACCACTATGGTACCAAGGCAAATATCCACATCCAAATGTAAGCATTTTTTATCTTTCAACACCTTCCCACCACTACAAGGACACCGCATACACATTTTTGTTACAGTCCATAAAAACTCTACTTAAGTGTCATGTGTATTCTTTTTTTTTAAGATTATTTATTTATTTGACAGACAGAGATTACATGTAGGCAGAGAGGCAGGCAGAGAGAGAGGGGGAAGCAGGCTCCCTGATGAGCAGAGAGCCTGATGTGGGGCTCGATCCCAGGACCCTGGGATCATGACCTGAGCCAAAGGCAGAGGCTTTAACCCACTGAGCCACCCAGGTGCCCCTATCATGTGTATTCTTATTTTAGCATTCCAATTAGAAGCTGCAGAAGGACAGGAAGTATGTCTCATTGTCTTTGTAGTCCAGTTGTACCCAGCATAGTACCTGGCATGTGGAATACACACTTGGAATAGTGGCTTAATTGAACTGAAGTCACTGAAAGCCCATTAAAAAAAAAAAAAAGCTAATGTTGGAATATCTTGGGAAAAATGTAGAAGATTTGCTCCTGATCTGTCAAATACAGCAGTAGTTTAACTTTATCCTCATGTAGATACTGAAATCAGAAACATAGAACTGAAAGAAACTCTGGAGATCACTGAGTACCACTCCTCCTTTGACAGGGAACATGAGGCCAAGAAAAAAATGTTCCACAGTCACACCATGAAAGACAAGAAATAACAAGTGTCAGGGAAGATGTGAAGAAAAAGGAACCCTTAAGTACTGCTGGTAGGAATGTAAACTGGGGCAGCCACTGTGGAAAACAGTATGGAGGCACCTCAAAAAATTAAAATTAGCATTACCATATGATCCAGAAATTTTACGACTGGATATTTATACAAAGAAAATAAAAACACTAATCCAAAAAGGTATATGCACCCCTATCTTTATTGCAGCATTTACAGTAACTAAGATATGGAAAAAACCTAAATATTCATTGATAGATAAATGGATAGGGAAGATGTAGACGTTAGAAAATTATGCGGGCATGAAAAATGATGAGATCTTGCTGTTTGTGACAATATGGATGGCTCTAGAAGGTATTATGTTAAGTGAAATAAGTCAAACTGGAAAGATTCATAACCATATAATTTTACTGATATGTGGAATTTAAGAAGCAATACAAACGAATAAATGAACAAAAAGCAGAATGAGACCTATAAATAGAGAGAAAAAAACTGATGGTTGCCAAAGGAAAAGGGGTGGACAAAATGTGTGAGGGGGAGTGAAAGATACGGACTTCTAGTTATGGAGTGACTAAGTCACAGAAATAAAAGGCATAGCATAAGGAATATAGTCAATAGTATTGTAATAGTGTTGTATGGTGAACTTTTATTTTCTCATACTTCCATTTTATTGCTAACATAAACACTATGTATTAAATTATTCTAAGGTCCAAAAAACAAACAAACAATAACAAAAATGTCACATGGTAAGTTATTGGAGGAGCTGCTTTGAGAACTCAAGGCTCCTGAGTCCCAGGCAAAAATTTTAACTGTAAGCACTAATATTATAATGGAACCTTGCTGAGGCAGGGCAGGAGGAAAACTTTTTAATAGGAAGATCCCCATGTTACCAAGGCACAGCCAGCAAAGGAAGGTGGGAACAAGCTTTATGAACATACCTCTTGTAACTGAGATTCTTTCTTTTTGGAAGATAGATGTAAGTGCCGTTCCAGCAAGGAATAAAACCGCTCACCATCCTTTTCAAATTTTTTTTTCCGCTCCTAGATGTGGGAGAGAAAGCACACATTAAGATATCTATGTATTTTGGGGGCACCTGCATGGCTCAGTGGGTTAAGCCTCTGCCTTTGAGTCAGGTTATGATCTCAGGTCCTGGGATCGAGCACTGCATCGGGCTCACTGCTCAGCAGAGAGTCTATTTCCCTTCTCTTTCTGCCTACTTGTGATCTCTCTTTCTGTCAAATAAATAAAATCTTAAAAAAAAGATATCTATAGTTTTTAATTCACTCCACTCAGAACTGAGAATAAAGAATGCAGTGTCAGGTTTCATGTGTCAGCTTTCCAATCTCTCTAGCCTCTGGAAAGAATAAAGAAAGAGAGAATTTGCTTTTGCATTGGTCTTAGCAGTTTCACTTTCCTCAAATATAACCCTGAACCATTCCACCTACACAATTGGAAATTCCTATTAGTAGAGCTGAAGGCTCTGGGAGCTGCTGCACAGAAAATGACACTTAAGATGGGCCTATACACTTGTTACTTTTTCTTCTTCCCAGTATTTTTCTTGTTTTTTTTCACATGCATTAACTACTCATTCATTTTTTTCAAAGGAGAAAGAAGGAACATAGTGATAAACTAAATATATGCCTTTAAAAGTAAGATACAATGCATTTAGACAGACTAATACTAAGTAAAACATTTCCAAGGCAATAGGAACCTTAGACTGCCCCTATAAATGATGAGTTCTTTGACACTGTTTAAGTTTTTGCTACTGCCTATTAAAAGATGCTATTAAAAATGAGGAAACAATCCTGGAAAATGTAGCTAGAGAGCAAGAGTCCAAAAGCCTTACAGAAGATGGAGAACTCAGTATGAAATTTAATTAAGTTCTCTTCCTCAGCACAACCGAAAGTCACACAGCTCCAAAGGAGCATTAAAAATGCTCATCTGTTACACAGTAATGCTGACACTCTGCAATCCTCTTAACACCATGCTGGGAAATTCATGTAAAAAGACTGTTGTGTCATAGTAAATCCAAATTCACTGAGCACCTACAGTGTGCCAATTACTGCAAGAGACACACAGACAAAAAGAAGAAAGAAAAACAAAAAGCAAAAGGGTTGCTGGGGGGAGGGGGGTTGGGGGGTAGAGTTATGGACATTGGGGAGGGTATGTGCTATGGTGAGTGCTGTGAAGTGTGTAAACCTGGCGATTCACAGACCTGTACCCCTGGGGATAAAAATATAGTATACGTTTATAAAAAATAAAATAAAAAAAAAGAAAGGAAAAAAAAACCTCCCCCATGATTTATTTCTAGAGGCAATCTGATCCCAGGCAGAAAGCCAAGACAGAAATCAGTGACCTCTGACCTGGAAAGAAAGTGCTTTTTACCAAAGATAAAGAAGTAGAGAGGAAGCTATCATTAACTGAGGCCCACATCAGGTCAGGCAGTGAAGTAGGTACTTATAATCCATTATTTCACTTAGTCTTCAAAACCCTGAGAAATAGATGTTGTAAAGGAACTTAAGGTTCTAAAAAAGTGAACTAATTCGCCCAAGGTCACATAATATATAGATCTATTTGATTTCTTCCACATAGTCAAATAGAGCCCAGATGACTATACGAGGAATTACACTCAGGAGGCCTGTAAATAACCAAGAAACTTTGTGAATAAAACTGAAGCAGGTCTATAGCCCTAGCCCAAACTCATACCAAAACACATGAGATAGAAATTTTCACACAAAACATTGGTAAGATAAACTGTTCCTATAGCTGGTGAATTTTTCAAAGTAGCAATTCCTTGAAGAAAGCATTAGGGCCAGAAAATGTCTGCGACTTTTCTAAGAACAGATAAAGTTCTGTTGGTCACTTCCTCCTCCAATTCCTTTTTTAAAATAAAAACTATGAAATGTAATTCACATATCATAAAATTCATCCTTTTAAAGTGAATAATTCAGGGGTTTTTAGTGTATTTACAAAGTTGTGCAACCATCACTGCTGTCTAATTCCAGAATATTTCCATCACCTAAGATAAACCCTATACCTATTAGCGGTCATTTCCTCCCTTCCCCCAATACTCACCTCAAGAAGCCACACTTTAATTTTTGTCTCTATGGATTTGTGTATTATAGAGATTTCATATAATTCTAGCCATACAATATGTGACCATATGTGCATCTTCTTATACTTTATAAGTATATACTTATACTTTAGCATGTTTTCAAGATTCATCCAAATATCAGTACTTCATTCTTTTTTATGGCTGAATAATATTTGATTATATGGATATACCATGTATTCTTTATAAATTTATCAGTTGATGAACATTTGGGTTATTTCCATTTCCTCAGCAATTATGAATAATGCTGCTGTGAACATTCATGTACAAGATTTTTTGTGGTCATGTTTTCAATTCTTTTGGGCATATATACATAAGTAATGGAACTGCTGAGTGATATGGCAACTCTGTGTTTGACTATCTAAGAAACGGCCAAACGGTTTTCCAAAGCAGGTGTATCATTTTACATTGTTAACAGCAATGAATGAGAGTTCCAATTTCTGCACATCCTCACCAACTCTTATGTGTCTTTTTGGTTACAAATAACCTAGTGGGTGTTAACTTGCATTTACTGTAGTTTGACTTCCAAATGTCTAATGATGTCTTTTCATGTGTTTATTGACCCTTTGTGTACCTGTATACATACACACATATGTATATTCTTCAAAGAAATGTTTATTTAATTATTTTCCTCATTTATAAATTTGGTTTGTATCTTTATATTTTCAAGTTACAAGAATTTATTACATAACTCTGAATACCACCTGTGGTGTATTTTCTCCCATTCTTTGGGTTGTTTTGGTACTTTATTGGTAGTGACCTTTGAAGCATGAACATTTTTAATTTTGTGAAGTCCAATCAGCCTATTTTCTTCAATTTCTTGTGTTTTTGGTGTTATATCTCAGAAAACGCTGCCTGATTAAAGGTCATGAAGATTTATAGCTATATTTTCTTCCAAGAACTTTATATTTTTTGGTTTTAATTTTTGAACGCAGTGTGATACAGGGCTCCAACTTCATACTTTTGCATATGGAGAGTGAGTAGTCTCAGAACCATTTGTTCTAAAGATTATTCATTCCCTATTGATTTGTTTTGGCATTCTCAGAAAATATCAATTAGCCTTAAGTGTATAGGTTTATTTCTGGACTCTCAGTTCTATTCTATTAATCTATATATCTATCTTCATGTCAGCACCATAGTGCCTTGATTACTATAGCTTTGTAGCAAGTTCTGAAATTAAAGACTGTGACTCTTTTTTTCAATATTTCTTTTTCTATCTAGTATTCTGTTTGGATTTTAAGGTTACCTTATCAAGCTATGAAAAATGGCCAGCTGGAATTTTGGTAAAGATGACACTGAATCTGCAGATCAATTCTGTAACTATCCTATCATAGCAATATGAAGTCTGACTCATGAACACAAGATGTGTTTCTATTTATCTTTCTATTTATTTAAGTCTTAGTTAAATTATACCATTAATGTTTTGTACTTTTCAATGTATACGACTTGCACTTTTTTTAATTTATACGTAAGCACTTTAATATTTTGATGCTACTGCAAGTGGGAATTTTTAAATTTAATTTTCAGATCATTTACTAATAGTGTATAGAAATACAATTTATTTTTGTATATTGATTTTGTATCCTGCAACCTTCATGAACTAATTCCAGTGGCGTGTGCGTGTGTGTGTGTGTAACTTAGGATTCTATATATAAGATGATGTAATCAGCAAATAGAGACAGTTTTACTTCTTCCTGTCCAATCTTGGCTATTTATCCTGGGTAGAACCCCCAGAACAATGGTAAACAGAAGTGCCAAGAGTGGACACCCATGATTTCTTGATTTAGAGGGAAAGATTATAGTCTTTCACTATTATGTATATGGTATTAGTAATTGGTTTTTATATTTCTCAATTATCAGGTTGAGAAAGTTCCCATCTATTCCTAGTTTGTAAAATACTTTTATCATGATAGGGTGCTGGATTTTGTCAAAAGACTTCTTTGTGCTGAGATGTTCATGTACTTTTGTCCTATAACCCATTAATATGTTATACAATATTGATTGATTTTTGTTGGATGTTAAACCAACCATGTATTCAAGGGACAAATTTCACTTGGTTATGGTATACACTTATTTTTATATGCTGCTGGATTTGGTTGGCCTGTATTTTGCTGAGAACTTTTACAACTATACAGTAGTACACCGGTATCCACAATTTTGCTTCCCACATTTCAGTTACTGAAGTCCATCAAAGTCTACAAGAAGAACATCCTCTTTCTGATTTAACATCAGAAGGTCAAAAATAGCCTAAAGATATGTCACAGTGCTTATGTCATTCATGTCACTTCATCTGATCACACAGGAATTTTATCATGTCACGTTATCACAAGAAGGGTAAAGAAGGGTAAATAGAGTACAAAAAGTATTTAGAGAGAAAGAGAAACAACATTCTTACAAATTTCATTATAGTATTGTTCTATTTTATTTTTAGCTATTATTGTTAATCTCTTACTGTACCTAATTTATAAACTTTATAACTTTATAAATCTTTTATAACTTTATAAATATATATTATATATATTTTTAAATATATATATTATAAATATATATGTGTGCATAGGAAAAATTATATATATATACACATACACATGCACATATATACATACATACACATATACATACATACAGCTTGGTACTAAAATTTAATATCTATACATACATACATACATACATACATACATGGCTTGGTACTATCCAAGGTTTCAGGCATCCACTTTGGGGGGGGGTCTTAGAATGTATCCCTCATAGATAAGGGGGAACAACTCTATTCATGAGACATACCAGCATGTAGTTTTGATTTCTTGTTATGCATTTGTTTTTGTATCAGGGTAATATTTGTCTTATAGAATGAGTTGGGAGGCATTTCCTCCTCTTCTGTTTTTGGAAGAGTTTGCAAAAGGTAAGTGTTAACTCTTTAAACATGAGATT